TCAAAAATGGCGGAAACTATTTGTGTCCAAAACTGTGTTTACATTTGCGTGTAAAGCGTTTGTGGATGCGTTGGATCAGCTGTGGTGATGGCCAACAACCGATTCATGTCCAACCTGTCCAACTCGGACACGAGTCTATGGCTGCACAACAAACTGGGCACCAGTAATGACTTGTGGTCAGGTATGTCATCCACGACCATGTCTTGCGTGCAGTGATCAGTGCCATGACTCATGCAATTGATCCCACGAACAGACACCTCGAGTATCATTAGTCAACTGAATGGCGACGTCTTGCGGAACATCAGAGACTGTTTCGTTGACTTGCAATCTCAGGTCAAACTCAAACTCCTCCTCTCATTCCTCCACATCTCCAGACGTAATGTCGAACAGGTATTCATGTCATCTCACCGTCCAATCGATGGTCTAATCCATGGTTTGCGTGTGTTTTGTAGTGGAGGACAGAATTGGAGGAAATACTGGAAGTGGCGGTCGAGGACACCGACCAATGGGTCTCAATGTTGGCTGAATTGCTGAAGAACTACCCGAACAACGGAACCATTAATTTCCAGTTAAACACGAATTCCTCGTCTTTTAACGATTTGGTCATCGAATTGAAGAAATTGGGTATAAATTGGGTTTTGGTTTGCCTTTTGAATGCATTGTAATAATAATGACTGTCTTATGATTAGTGAAAAAACACGGCGACAAAGGTATCCTTCCTCTGGAGTGTCTTTACCTAAATAAGAGCGCATTGACCGCAACGGTCGGCCAATTGGCGCAACCCATCAAACACTTCGCACTCAAACGAAAGCCCAAATCCGCGACTTTGAGGGCAGAGCTCTTACAGAAATGTATGCAATCATCGGATTGTCGATTCAGTCTAAGACTTACTCTAATTGTATGCTATTTATAGCCAACGACGCGGCCAACGGTCGGCGCAACTCTACCGGACCCTCAGTTGCCATCCGATGTCGCGGTCTTAACAACGACTCGAGTAATACAAAGACTAATCATTTTGTTTTGATTAGTATTTAAAACTAATGCTTGTTTTGACGACAACTACAGCCCCACTGAAAGGCATTCCCAGTCGGAACTCATTTGGTTTGTCGCAAACGCCTGGCTTTAAGACGCCTTCAAACCCGGCCAACAAAATGGGCGCAAATCTGAACAACAGATCGCGACTGAGTGTGGGAGGGGTTAAGAGGGACGGAGGCATCAAACTGTTGGACATTACGGAACAGCCGTTGGGAAGGGATAGCAAACGGCGTAAGAAAGTGCAGAACGAGGACAACGACAACAAACACAAAGACGTGGATAAGACGGAAGCCGAACCCATTACACCCGACTATGCGGCCGGACTCACATCCGTACCTCCGAGTCCGGCGCCGCCCAGTTATGCCCCGCCGGCCACTCCCTCACAGCAACCGACCGTTGTTTCCAATGAGAGCTACTCTCAAATGCAACCACAGATGCAAACGACACAACCGACGGTCCAAAGCGCACCTCCAGTACAGCAGCGGTTCGTTGTTAACGATAATTATGTCAATCAAAACGCGGACAACAGTGCCGTCAAAGCCACTGTTAAACCAATGAAAGCGGTCACTGCTGTGAACACACCGTTGCCTCCGATGGTAGCGACGCCTCAATTAGTACAACAGCTGCAGACAAACCCAACTCCAGTACAAGTGATAACTCAGCCTCAGAGCCAACTTCAGGCACAACTTCAGGTACCGCCTCAACCACTGCAACAACTGCCACAACCGCCACAACAGCCGACACAACCTCAGCAGCCATTCGTGAGAAGACAACTGCAGTTATCTCGTGAGCAGATGTTGGCCGCGCAGGAGATGTTCACGAACTCCAACAAAGTGACCCGACCTGAGAAGGCACTCATACTGGGCTTTATGGCGGGCTCGCGGGAGAACCCCTGTCCGCAGTTGGGAAATGTGGTGACCATTAAGTTGAGCGAAAAGGAGGAGGACGTGCGACAGAGCGACCAAACCATTGAGCGCATGGTTGTCGAGACCCACTTCCAGATGAACTACAATACCGGCGAATGGAAGAAAGTGCAGAAACTCCGCAAATTGGACCAAAACGTGCAAAACGCTCACACCATTCATCCCTACCAAACGCTACAGCAAACCGTTTAATGCATTCATTCAATCATTTCTCTGCAATTGTTTTCATAAATTTTCTGTAAAAATATTGTATATTTCGCTCGAAATGACTGAAATGTCTGTAAATATGATTTGTTTTAAGATATATTTACTAATGAAAATACCTTTTATTACGCGAAACATATTAAGTCTATTAAAGAAAAGTTTTTTTGGAGTTATTTATGAGTCGTTTATAAAAGTAATTCAAATAATTCCTCATTAGATAAGTAATGATATTATTCTAAATAATATATTTGACCGCATTTTATGTCCATTTGTGTCCTTGTTTTCCCCTTTATATTAGATATAAATTGAATTTTATTTTCACAAAACAATGCCTAATAAATTATTAATGAAATAAATGTTATAAGTTTTCAATGTTTTTATTATTTATACTGTTTAATGCTATATTTCACTCCTTTGCGTTTGCATTCAAACCAATTATTACTATTATAGTATCAAACATTTTATGATATAATAATTATGATTAATACCCACTATTATTTTGATTTGATTTCTATTATTTTATCCAATTTTTGTCTGATTTAAAAATTTTAGTCTTAAACTCTTATTACTGATTTTTTTGAGTAATTTATTTAAAGAGTTCATTAAAATTTGTGCTTTTATTTGATTGATTTGTTGTATAAAAAGTGTAAATATTTTATCAGTTGATAGATTTAATTACAGTATCGTTGACATCATATCAAATACTAATATTTATTGTATTCATTCAATACAAATAAAGTCACTTTAAATACAA